GGCAGGCACTGCATAATCAACTAGTGAACGAATGGTATCCATGTAAACCACTCCATATCACTGCCAATGTCCTCATGTTGGTCCTGGTGCTCTCCCTGTCACAGCTCGGGTCCTGGTGCTCTCCTTGTCACAGCCCGGGTCCTGGTGCTCTCCTTGTCACAGCCCGGGTCCTGGTGCTCTCCTTGTCACAGCCCGGGTTCTGGTGCTCTCCTTGTCACAGCCCGGGTCCTGGTGCTCTCCTTGTCACAGCCCGGGTCCTGGTGCTCTCCTTGTCACAGCCCGGGTCCTGGTGCTCTCCTTGTCACAACCCGGGTCCTGGTGCTCTCGTTGTCACAGCCCGGGTCCTGGTGCTCTCCTTGTCACAGCCCGGGTCCTGGTGCTCTCCTTGTCACAGCCCGGGTCCTGGTGCTCTCCTTGTCACAACCCGGGTCCTGGTGCTCTCCTTGTCACAGCCCGGGTCCTGGTGCTCTCCTTGTCACAGCCCGGGTCCTGGTGCTCTCCCTGTCACAGCTCAGGTCCTGGTGCTCTCCTTGTCACAGCCCGGGTCCTGGTGCTCTCCTTGTCACAGCCCGGGTCCTGGTGCTCTCCTTGTCACAGCCCGGGTCCTGGTGCTCTCCTTGTCACAGCCCGGGTCCTGGTGCTCTCCTTGTCACAGCCTGGGTCCTGGTGCTCTCACTGTCACAGCCCGGGTCCTGGTGCCTTCCTGTCACAGCCGGGTCCTGGTGCCTTCCTGTCACAGCCCGGGTCCTGGTGCTCTCCCTGTCACAGCCCGGGTCCTGGTGCTCTCCCTGTCACAGCCCGGGTCCTGGTGTCTCCCTGTCACAGCCCGGGTCCTGGTGTCTCCCTGTCATAGCTCGGGTCCTGGTGCTCTCCTTGTCACAGCCCGGGTCCTGGTGTCTCCCTGTCACAGCCCGGGTCCTGGTGTCTCCCTGTCACAGCCCGGGTCCTGGTGTCTCCCTGTCACAGCCCGGGTCCTGGTGCTCTCCCTGTCACAGCCCGGGTCCTGGTGCTCTCCCTGTCACAGCCCGGGTCCTGGTGTCTCCCTGTCACAGCCCGGGTCCTGGTGTCTCCCTGTCACAGCCCGGGTCCTGGTGTCTCCCTGTCACAGCCTGGGTCCTGGTGCTCTCTCTTTCACTGTCCAGGCCCTAGTTTGCAGTCTCCGTGGTGTAGTGGTAAGACACTCGCCTGGCGTTCCGCGAGCGCTATGTCATGGGTTCGTATCCTGGCCGGGGAGGATTTACTGGGCGCAATTCCTTAACTGTAGCCTCTGTTTAACGCAACAGTAAAATGTGTACTTGGATGAAAAAACGATTCTTCGCGGCAGGGGATCGTATTCCAGGGACCATAGGATTAAGGACTTGCCCGAAACGCTACGCGTACTAGTGGCTGTACAAGAATGTAACAACTCTTGTATATATCTCAAAAAAAAAAAAAAAAAAAAAAAAAAAAGTACTCTCCCTGTCGTCTGGGTGCTTGTTTTCACCCTGTCACTGCCAGAGCCCTAGTGCTCTTTCACTACCATCACATAAGAGGTCATTATAATGACGGTGAACCGCCATGATACTGCTAATAAGAACATCAACTTATCTACTATATGATATTTTTTTAGATTTTTTGTCCAATTTTTGTATGTAAAACTGAAAATTGAATTGGTAACGCTGAGCGAGCTGCCAGTCGCCAGTTAGGCGTCGTCTAGTGAGGGTGGAGATGCTCCTCAATTACCTCTATGTTCTCTTACCCTTTGCCATAATTTATAGTTAATTTTACCGATTATTTAAGATTCGTATATATATCAAAATCAAAACGTAGAAACAGTGAAAACATATATACAACACGTACAGCAAGATAAATGAGAGTAAAAGCAAATATGTTTAAATTAATGAAATTTTGATGACGCACGCGTCAAGGAGGCTATTTTTCCCATCAAATATAATCTTTTGAGGCGCCACGCTGAGACTGGACGTAATTTGAAATGAAATCGACTCACAAAAGTGACGTACTGTTCCGTTTTCTGTTTGAGTCGTCTGCCTTACTCGGCAAGCTTAGAAGAGGAAACTTTTTAACGTTTTTCATACCGTTTTGAAACTTTATGATAATTTCCTGCCTACCTAACCTATCAGAGGACCCTTAATTTACTATTGTTGAAAAAAAATCCCAAATTTTTTTTTTTTTTTCATTTTCATATTACGTCCATATTCGGCCATACGGGCAAACGGCCAAAAGCGACGTTCTTTTAAAGAGGACAGGTTGCTCACCTGGGAAAGAAGATTAATTGTTGCAGGCGGCAATCAGAAAGCGCTGGACACATACTACCTCTATTTCCAAGCCCTTTCACTTACCTCTGATTGCTCCACTACAGAAAACACAAATCAGATAAACATTTACATATTGACACTAAACAATACGTATTATGTCATAAGATGTAAAGTAAATCATTATCAAACGAAGGCACCAAGCCGGGAAGACTATGTAGCACCGTGAGATCTAAAGTTAATGCATTAACCAAAGAAATAATATATTTACACATGCATATATGTATAATCGAACATGTTCTCTTACTATTTGCAATAATTGACTTTCTCTTCCACTTTCAGTAGGTAGTAACTGAGTGATTGTAACCTATCCACCGCTGCCCACTGGATGGGGGGCGGTGTAACCTATCCACCGCTGCCCACTGGATGGGGGGCGGTGTGCAGGACAAACATATCAATTGTGACACTAGCTCTCCACATATGTCAGTTGCTTAATTTAGAACCTGTACTTGAGGTCGATCTCGAACCCATTGTTGATGTGACGACTTATATTGAATTTTGTAACTAGTTCATCAAGATTGTAACTTGCTTAGCTAAATGAATTGTGGGGTTCAGTCCCTGAGCCCATTATGTGCCTCTGTAACCCTTTCCACTACCGCCCACAAGATGGGTATGGGGTGCATAATAAATGAACTAAACTAACTAACTCTGCCACTTTCAGCACATCTTAAAGATGACGCTAAATAATTCAACTCCATATGTTCATTAGTGAGTTTTTAGAACTTCAAAAATGTTTTGCACATTTGTGATTTTAAACAAATCTTAAAATAAACTTTAGTTAGGAGAGTATTTACAACGTACGCTTCCTTTCAGTAAAATATGAAAATATCATCAAGGTAATATTTTAATTTCACCTATAACAGGGCGGAATGGTCCTCTAATTAGGCACATATTATCATCCTTAAGATGCAGACGAGGAGTCACAATAACGTGGCTGAAATATGTTGACCAAACCATACACTAAAAAGAAGGGATGACGACGTTTCGGTCCGTCCTGGACCATTCTCAAGTCGATCAAGTCACAATCGACTTGAGAATGATCCAGGACGGACCGAAACGTCGTCGTCCCTTCACTTTCTAGTTTGTGGTTTGGTCAACATCATCCTCAAGACCAAGGCAGAATTTCCACCTCATACCACACCTACTGTCTCAGCCGACACACACCACACTTAGAAGTTTTACCGGTGGTCTATTTCCCTGTACTTGGCTGACTTGTCTCTTTCTCTGTGTGTCGCCGCGGCTCCTGCTTGGCCGACAGAGGTTGATGTATGTGGTTACCAGAAAGGATACGCAAGTATAGTCCCACGCCAACTGTCTGTCACCTTTCCAAGGGCGCAGTGTGATTCCAGCTGGTCGGTCGGCAAAGCTAGCAGAGTTACAGTTCAATAGATTGCGGGCTCTCTCTCTGCTGGACACTGGACAGAGGCAAGGTTCCTTTTAATGATGTCATTGACTTAGTCGTGTCTAGAGTGCCAACCGCCTGATTTTCCACAGTGCAGGCCATGCAGTCCATATTCGTCTGCATCTGTCTCGCCGCAAATACACCTATGAACAGTGTGGATAGGGGCAGCAAGGCGGAGATCGACTGCTGCGGATTAAGACGTGTGCTTGTCGCGGACATAGGGACTGCCAAGAGGAAATCACCTCACCCCTGAAGGATTTGAACCCAGACAGTCTGGGCTCCATGCGCCTTAGCGTATCCAGTACTTAACCCACTAGACCACACTGACTGTTCAAAAGAATTGAAAGTCGTCAGACTCTTAACCCAATCCCCAACAGCACTCCGTGGTAAATTTTGGGGACACATATTTCATCGAATCACTTCGCACGTTGGGGCCCTGTGAGTAACACAAAGGCGAACGTAACTTTGTCCACGCAAGTTTCCGAAGGATTTGGGAGAAGGAACTCATTAGGCAAACCAGAGACCTAAAAGCAGCCAGTTTCTCAGTGTCGCGATCAAAAGAGGAAATGCCTGTTTGATCCGGTAAACGCTTCCCACCTCTGCAGAGCTGGATTAGGCTTAAACAGTTATTTTGCGTTAATGTATGTACTCTGTAAGCTGTAACACAGTGTTATAAATTAAAAAATAGATCATTATATACCTATATATTAATCTAAGTCTATGTATGCAGGGAGGGATGGTTATCAACAGATGTATAACATGTAGGTTGAGGTGCATTTGGTGCATTGATGTCGCAGATGCAAATGATGTGCAGATTCAGAGGAGTTGCAGGTGCGTGCAAGACCTACTTTACGTGTATATAAATAAGTTTTCAAATATATTGTTAATTTTGTTCTTAACTTGGAATAATTACTAGACTCTCTCAAATACAAGACAAAATAACAAAACAGATATTTAAACATCGTTCACATATATATGTAACTGTGGAACATGCACCAAATGACTGTTAAAGTAATAGAGGTCCTGCTGAAGTAATGTGTCAACAGGCGGAGGCGCCAGACATGCGTAGCCATATAACAATATACTTCGCGGCTCGCGCCCCTTGCATTACTTAGCCTGTTCACAAGAACCCTAATGCTTCAGCAAGATGATGCTATCGGTGCCGGAGGTCGTAACTGCCACACACATCTTCAATAAATCACCATCAACACAAGCCAGTTCTCGTCATTTACCCTTAAGGCATGAGACTATGAGTGTTGAGAGTGAGGAGAGAAGTTGTGCCTCACCTGAGGTTGATGCCGTGTGTGTGTGTGTGTGCGAGCGGCGAGGATCCTGGCGCCCAACTGATGCAGTGCTCCTGTGCTGGCCGGGCAGGCCGAGCGCCGCTCCCACGCTCCCCGGCCACTGCCACAACCTCACGTTTTCCAAATCACCTGTCACTTCTGTCACTTCTTAGTGCAATGCAGTTTACTGGAACATTTTTGTTAGAATGGAATGATATCAAAGAGCAAGATGGACGTGGATATTCGCGTACTTAAAGTGTAAAGTAGACTACGTATTCAGATGTTGCGAGGCTGGACAACAGTTTGTCCTCCTTTGTCCCAGAATCCACAGTGATGAGTCTTCCTCCGGGTATGTTTAGCAACGTCTCGTATACTGAGCAGCTGCGTCACGTGGTACGTCACGTGACATCCGCACACAGTAACCTTGCGCGTCTGTCAACTGTCGACCTTGAGAGTGACAGCCACTCAATATTTACCCGTGAACGCGGAGGTCGCCAACTTATGGTCCCGACTTTGATGGCCGGATAAAGCGAGACCTTTAGGAACGTTTCTTTACACTTGATGCCTCTGTCCGTATAGCAGTAAGTAGGTACATAAGAGATATAGACGACTATCATAAGAGAGGTAGACGACTAATGTGGGTTGCATCTAAGGAAAGCTAGGCCATTCGTTGGCCTGCCGGAACAATCGTGGACATTTTCAAGATAAACTGGATAGTTTTCTTCAAGAAGTGCCGGACCAACCGGGCTGTGGTGGGTTTGTTGGCCCGTGGGTCGCTCCAAGCAACAGTCTGGTGGACAAAGCTCTCGCAAGTCAAGCCTGGCTTCGGGCCGGGCTCGGGAAGTAGAAGAACTCCCAGAACCCCATCTAGGTACTAGGACCTTCATCAGCATAACTGACAGACAATCGGAAACCAATTTATTATTAACAAACATCACCAATAACACTTTGGGATCATAAAAGAATATCATAATGAGTTTCTTCAACGATCCAAGTGCACTTAGCTCCTGGGACCCGGATGCGTCAACCGCAAAAAATATGAGCATTTAAAGTGGTTATCTTGAGATGATTTCTGGGCTTTAGTGTCCCCGCGGCCCGGTCCTCGACCAGGCCGCCACCCCCCAGGAAGCAACCCGTGACAGCTGACTAACACCCAGGTACCTATTTTACTGCTAGGTAACAGGGGCATAGGGTGAAAGAAACTCTGCCCATTGTTTCTCGCCGGCGCCCGGGATTGAACCCGGGACCACAGGATCACAAGTCCAGCGTGCTGTCCGCTCAGCCGACCGGCTCCCTAAACCGTGGTCTAAAAATCTATATTATAAGAGAGACTGTCTCTTGAAAGTTGGAGGCTACACGGTTGGAAAGTACACGGCTACATCACCCAAATTGGCAAAGGGAATGGTTTGTGGTACGGGATGAACATAGGCTGATTGGGCCGTCAGAATTCGAAAGGGAACAGTGGGCCAAGGTCACATTCAGACCCCCACTACGATTTTTGGCCCAGCCCGCCAGCTACACAGCTAAATTTTTTCAAAACAAACTTTTCAACAACAAAAATTTCATAAAGTAATATATGCATCATTATTCACTGATCTTAGGAAAACTACCAGAAAATTCCTGCTCTGAATAATTTACCCGTTCTGGCATAAAATCGACGATTCTCACACAGCTTCAAAGGTTTCTCAAGCCGTGGACCGTTACCAGAGTAAGGGGTAACTATTTTTTTTTTACCATAGTAAGGGGTAACTATTTTTTTT